TTTTATTTTTTTAATTTTTTAGAGGTTGCTACCGAATTTTAAAACATTTTTAACTAATAACATTTTTAAAAAAATTGTTTTTTTGCGCCTCTAATCTGCAGTGAAATCTATTGCATTTATATCGATAACATTAATATCGTCATGAGTCTACTATTGGGGCAAAAGTCCTGGATAAGTTTTTGATCAATTGTTGACTAAATATATTAAACTCCTGAACCTCCTGATATTCACCAATCGTTAATGCATTAACAGTAAGTGACCGATGTTCCCTTTGTTGTGGCTATATTGAATTCATACAAAAATACTTGACAATGGAAGAAAACGAAGCAAAACACTTGTTTGATTTGGTTAATCGGTCAGACGAACGATAAGCTATATTCAAAAGTTCTTCTATCAGTCCAAGAGGCCTTTTAAAGTGCTTTTGTTCTATAAGCTAGAGCAAAAAAGGGAAACCAAAAATGTTTCGGCAGATATTGCATCTCGAGAACGAAAATTTCAACACGTGAAGGAACAGATTTTGAATTTCGTCAAGGAATGGGAAGCACTCAGAAAAAATAAAGAAAATAAAGCCAAGCAAACTGCAGCATTTAAAAAAAAAAGAATCGGCATGGCAAGAAAAAATCGCAGCTCTGTTTGTAGCACACGCTAATGCTTTAAGCATTCTAACTATAGAAGAGGATAAGAACTTTCTAATTTCGCAGAGGCAAAATCGATGGGGGAAAATTGGTACCCTCGATACAAAATATTGTACTAAAATATCTAAAAAACTGGAGAGAGAAAAAAGATTGAACAATTTAAAAAACCGAGAAAAGATGCGTGTTCAACATGAAACAAATTTGTGCACTCTTGACTCTTCTTTTTCGTCGGAGTCAAGTAATATCTCTGAAGGAAGTCTTCAGGGATCATCACAGCTACGTACACATCGACCCAAAGTCAAAAGATTTAAAATTATAAGCGATGGAATAGCTGTTAGCCTTGATGTGGCCAAGTTGAGTAACAAACGAGAAGGAACGTGTGAGTCGCTTCTGGGGACGCGACTCTACTTATACCCGTAATCAGTCTGTATATACATTTTTGAGCTAATGATTTTTTAGAATTAAAAAAAAAAAAAAATTTTACATTTTACATTTTTTTGCTACATCTGTTATCTACATCTACATCTACAATGTATATTCCACATCTAACATGTAGATTGTACATGTACCATTTATATTCTACATCTCCTCCGCTAGGGGTTGTTCGCGCACTGAACGCGGCAGAGTGTGCGAGCGAGAAAGAGAGGGAACCAACAGAAAATTCATTTCTTCATTCTGGCTATAATTATGATCCGATCTGATTCAGATTCGGCAATCTGGTAGATATTTGCATTCTCTACGATACTGCGTTTTTAGTTTTATCGTATCTTTAAAAATGTGCCTGCCACAGATTTTCGTTCTTTGTTGGGGCGGCAGGGGGCGGGGCGAAATTTTGAAATACACTTGTAGCAGTGGGATATCACATGAGTCTGGAAACCAAATTTGGTTGCCCTAGCTCTTATAGTCTCTGAGATCTAGGCGCTCATCGAGACATACAGACAGACAGACAGACAGACAGACAGACAGACAGACAGACAGACAGACAGACGGACAGACAGACATAGCTATATCGACTCGGCTATTGATGCTGATCAAGAATATATATACTTTATGGGGTCGGAAAATTTTCCTTCTCTGCGTTACACACATCCACTTTTACCACAAATCTAATATACCCCTTAACTCTTTTTTGAGTACGGGTATAAAAAGCGGTTGTCGTTTTAACTTCGACTCTTAAAAGTGCTGGATGCGATTCATCTCAATATCCGTGAGTACAAATACTATTCGTCGTCAACGAAGGTTATATAGAGAAAAATTGGCGTAATGCTTGAGAGCTGAGTTGGAACCAGAATGTCCATTGACTGTTCACTGGGACGGAAAAATTATAGCAGAAATAAGCGGTGACGAAGTAGTCGATAGACTACCTATTTTAGTATCCGGACAGCAAATCGATCAACTCCTTGCGGTCCCAAAACTGAGCTGTGGTTTTTAAAACAATTCTTGGGGCTTAAACGAAAAGATAAGGTGTATGTGTTTTGATACCACAGCATGTAATACGGGGCTTAAAAATGGAGCTTGCATTCTGCTGGAAAAAAAATTAAAGAAGGAATTATTATGGCTGGCCTGTCGCCGTCATATTTTGGAAATTGTATTTCAAGTGGTAGTTGATACATCTCTGGCGTCTTCCTGTGGACCTGATGTTCAAATTTTTAAAAAATTAAAAATTGTTCGGAAAAACATGAAGAGAAATGACTATAAGTCTGTTCTCTCTGATTCATCGCTATGTAATCTATTTAATAATCTATCTATTCAGATCAAATCATTAACTTTTCAAAGGAAAAAATATTGTTATATCAACCAAGAAATGATTACAAGGAACTGCTTTACCTCATTATTATTTTTTATCGATTTATCGATTAAGGCTCCTGCTGGCTTGTTGGATGGCGAAAGCCATTTATTCCTTGAAAATATTTCTATTCAGGGATCAATTTACAATGTCAAAAAGGGAACTGAAAAGTATCAAAGACATTTTCACATTTGTTGTTCTTATATATGCAAAGCACTGGTTTAAAGCACCGTCAGCATCTTCGTCAGCATCCAGGAAACGACTTGCCACTTATAAAAGATCTCAAACAGTATGAAAATATAAACTTTAATATAGCAACCGTGGCATTACAAAAAATATTACGTCACCTTTGGTATTTATCCGAAGAGCTAATTGGGCTGGCTTTTTTTTTATGATGAAGGTATAACCTTGGATACGAAAAGGAAAATGGTGAATGCATTAAATAAAGACGGTTCGAAGGATGGTCCGAAACGTCCAACGATGCTGATTGAATCAGTTCTCGAAAAAAAACCTTGAAGACATTGTTACACGCAACACCGTACCGTTTTTTTAAACTGACTGGAATGTCATCGGAGTTTTTGGAAAAAGACGTTGAAATGTGGCATAGCGATGAAACTTATAACCATAATAAAGCGGTAGCTTGCAGCATACGAGTAGTGAATGATATTGCGGAGCGAGGAGTAGCTCTAATGGAGGAACACAACAAATTACATACCAACAATGAAGAACAAAAACAGTATCTTTTACTGTTAGTAAACGACTTTCGCAAAAAGTATTCAAATACTAATAAAAATACCTTACTAAAATTATGAATATGAAAAATTGAAAACTTTAAATATTTAAAAAATATATTTAATAAAAATATGAAATGTTCTTTTCGTGGTAGCAACCCCTAAAACTAAAAATTAACAAAACAAATTCTATAATTTTATTGAATAGCCAAGAACAGAATTACGGGGTTTCCCCTTTTTTCAAATTTTGGCATAGCCTAATATGCATGCATAAAGCATTCATTGACTTTAATTCATTGGTATTTTGGCATACGTACATATGTACATATGTACGTAATGCCCCCCATTAATAAATGGTTAATCCCACACTCGTATCGATTGGCGCGCAACAATGGAAATGCGACAACATAATTTTCATATAAATAATCTTTGCTCTGCCCGAAAACTGTGGCCTGCCCCAAAACAAACAAAATAATTTTACAATAATTTGAGTGTATTCAGATACATATATATAGATACAATCTATATCTACCACTATCTATGTATATATGTATGTATGTATCTCTATCCTCTCCTTTACATTCAAGTTTGGTTGGTGGAAAATTGGCCGCATTGCATAATGGATGATGGCCATTTAACCAACCATTTTATGGTCATTTCGTTCGATATGAATGCAGCTCAATTTTGGCAACGCAAACGTGTCTGCCTCTGGTTTAGTCGTATCTCCTGAATGGTGTATCTGCATCTGTATTTGGCGTCTATGCATTTGAATCACCGCATGTGCATCGCATTCTAGGGCTGAAGGCAGGTGCATGTTTGATCAAATCCGTAACGAGAACAGGAACCGGTTTTCCTCAGATTTTGCGATCTTTCGCAAACAATAGTCAGGTTAGGGAACCCTTGGGGGGGACCAGGGCAGGCACACAGGTAGGCAACATCTTTATAAAAACTGTATGTATACATACAAAACTTCTCTGAACTGAACCCTTCTTTCCATAGAAGGCTATGTATCTTTTGGGCAAGAAACAATAGACCTGAACAGCTGTCGCTGCTCCGAAACTAACTTATTTTCCCACTTCTCCACTCTACTCTACTTCTCTTCTCTCCTCTCCGAACCATTGTTCCAGCGAAATGATAAGATTCTTCTGGCGCAGCTGTCTCATTCAAAAGATACAATATCTGGAACAGTTGTCTTGTCTTCGTTTAGTGTTTTTTTCGGGTTGTCTGAGCTTGTGAATTAAATTGCTCTCGGACCAAAAAGATTCTCTCTCTGCTCTTTTGCAGGTGGCTGCTGCTCCTTTGCTGCTGAGGAAATTAAATGTCATTTGCAGCATTTGCCCCTGCCCCTAGCCCTGCCCAGCATCTTGGTAACACACACACAAAGTCAAAGCCAGAGCCGGAGCCTGAGCAGCTGTCGGAGATGGCCAAAGACACAGGACAGGCTGTATAAATATTATCGCATCATGCGCATCTACTAAAAAATAAAAATAAAAAAATAATCCAAATAGCAAATACATATGTATATTATACATCTTTCATTATACTATGCAACAGCCAAATAAAACTCTGGCGGCATCAAGCCCTCTTTTTCCAATATACTAGGGGCTCCAACAATTTTTATAGGTAAACGCTTTTTTTAGTTGTTTTTTTATTTAAAAAAATTGATATTTTTGTTGGTCAAAGTCAGAGGGCCTTAAACGACGCTTAATAAATGCCTATGTGAGTAAAATATAATACAGCAATAAACTAATTTATTCAGACCTTTCCTGAGTTTTAACAGAGAAAATGTAGAGCAAGCTTAAATATGTATCATTTTTTTTTTAAACTAAAAAACAAAAAACTTTACAATCCAAACATACAAACCAAAAAAAATATTTCAATAGAAATAATTTTCGTTCCAAAAAATAAATACGTTTTTAATTTGGTTGCCTAGTGTTATCGGCACACCAAGAACTAGCCGGCGAGTCCCAGGTACTGTCGAGACACTTTTTGACCGACAACCACAACGACGACAATGTACGAGTATTTACGATACATTTTACATACATATGTACATATTTATCTATTTTTCCCTATAACTACTTGGGCAGCCACAACTTCGGCAGCGGTCTTTTTGCACGAGGAGGCTCCATTAATGATGCAGCAAATGGATATATTTTAGCCTAACATGTAGCATGTATGTACGTATACAAAAATCTTGCAAAATGTGATGGGATTTTCCTTTATTGTCTCCTTCCACAGGCACCACAACTAAAAGAGAAAATGTTGAGAAGAAAAAGCTAGGCAAAGTGCAAATAAGAGCCAAACCATGCTGCAAGACGAGTCGTTCAAGGGGCAACACCCTTCTGGATGGCCAAGAGTCTTTCCGAATCGTCCATGTCTACACTCTGTCTGTTACCAGAGCCAATAGAAAGAATCAGAGATATCAAAATATTTCCAATAGCTCACAACATTTGTACAACGACCAACGACTGAGAGCCATCTGCAGATACCTTAAGATCCACCGACTGGACTGGGAACCAGTGGAATCGAACCTCCAAGAATTGAGCCCTTGAATAGTATGTACATACAAGGCCCATGATATAATCTCTCTGCGTAAGTTTATATGTTTGTGTTCTATGAGTTAATTATCTTTCAAATCTAAGTATCTGGTATCTGAATGCGTTCTATACAATCGAGGGAACAAAACAGACGAAATACATAAGAAAAACATACGAAAATTATATTCGCCCCGTAGTTTTCACCTACTTGAAAAGTTGTACTTGACATTTCTTTTTCGTCTTCCACTTTGCGGTTAGATTTTCGAAAAAGAAGATGCAGTCGGAAAAGGAGAAGAAGAAGCAGAAGAGCGTCTGCCCTTTTGTGGCTGCTGCTGCTGTCGTGCCCGCCTTAATGATTTTCCATTTTTTACACAAACAACTGAACCCACCTCACACAGCAGCTGTTCGCTGTCCGGTGTCTGCTTCACTGATTCACCACTCCACCGGACCGGACCCCCATTTCTGTGGATACTCTGCACGACGACACATGCAGCTTGCGCGTATGGAAAGCATTCAAAAGCAATTAAGCGCTTTCTTTGCTGCCAGCCGAACCAGTCAGTCCCTGCAAAAGATCTGGGAGGTACACAGGGCCCTTGCAACACATGACTTCAAAATGTAATGTCATTAATCAAATAAAAGAAAGGGGAGCAAAGAAGAGAACGAGAGAGAAAAAAGAAAATCATAGGGGAGAAACGCCCAAGTACAAGGCGAAACACTCTGAGAAAAATGCCAAAGTAAAAACAAACACGCCCATATTCAAATTTAAAGTAAATAGAATTTGATCTTATTTAATCTACAAATAAAACACTTTCAAATACATTTTCAATATAACATTAAATTTTTAGCTTTAGATTGTTTTATATTTGTATTAAATATTAGTATGACTTAATTTGAAAATATTTATTTTGAAATCATAGGGAACGACTGCTTATATTACTTATACAATTAATGTAAATGGCATTAAGTTTATATTTTCATTCAAAACGAGAAGGAACGTGTGAGTCGCTTCTGGGGACGCGACTCTACTTATACCCGAACTCAGTCAATATATACATTTTTGAGCTAATGATTTTTTAAAATTTTAGAATTAAAAAAAAAATTTACATTTTTTATTTGTTTACTACATTTGTCATCTACATCTACAATGTATATTCTACATCTTTTCCGCTAGAGGGCTCTCGCGTACATAACGAGGCAGAGTGTGCGAGCGAGAAAGAAATTGAGTAGCGGGTCTTTTGCTGGAGGAGGCGGGGAAGCAACTGAAAATTAATTTATTCATTCTGGCCATAATTATAATCTGATCTGATTCAGATTCGGCAATCTGGTAGATATGGTCATTCTCTACGTACATTATCGTATCTTGTATGTTGTGGCTGCCACAGATTTTCGTCCTTTGTGAAGGGGGCGGGGCGAAATTTTGAAATACACTTGTAGCAGTGTGATATCACATGAGTCTGGAAACCAAATTTGGTTGCTCTAGCTCTTATAGTCTCTAAGATCTAGGCGCTCAACAATACGGACGGACGGACGGACAGACAGATATGGCTATATCGACTCGGCTATTGATGCTGATCAAGAAAATGTATAATTAATGGGGTCGGAACCGTTTCCTTCTCTGCGTTACACACATCCATTTTTACCACAAATCTATTATACCCCTTAACTCTTTTTGAGTACGGGTATAAAAACGAACGTAGTAACTAAGTCGAATACACTTTGATCTCAAGCTGCAACTAGTCAACAGATTTTTTTTATTTTAATTCTATTTTAGATTGTTGTTGTTTCATATTTTATTCGTACAGGAACGTTTAATCCGACGTCGCACAGTGGGACAATCGGCAATTTCAGCTTTCTACATTAATAACTTCTGAACGAGTCAGGATATCTTCTCTAAATAAACTGCATTTGAAGCAAAAAGCTTCCACAATGTATTCGGCAAGAGTACAGGTGCTACAATGTCTAAAAGATTTACAATAAATAGTCAAAGTTGAACTTTGTTGCCAGTGCATATGTAAAATCTATATATGTAGAATGCGGTAGTGATAGGGTAGTGCCAAAGAACACCAGAAGCGGGAACACCATTAATCCTCTGTCTCTACCCTAAGATATCGATAGGAGACGCGGACTCAGTTGCAACGTGAGAAAAGAGTGGCAACGTACCGCCCTTCTTCAGTCGCTGCAAAAAACTCGTAAAAGACACAACGAAAATCATAAGTTAAAATTAAGTCGAATAAACTATAAACCTTTAAATAAACAATCATAGTTCTTTTACTCAAAAGAAGGGGTCTGCATATATATAAAAATGGAGGATATATGTATATACATATATATACAAAATGTTATATATAGTGCATCATCACGTGAAAACGACTGGGCAGATTTTTTTTTACTTTTTATTCAGTTAATTTTGTTTGCCAGAAGAATGTTTCTACGAAAGAAAAACCATCGATCGCGAAAAAATTAATTTTTATTTGTATTTGGCAACGGAATGTTTTTAGAAAAGAAAATTTCAGAAAACCCAACCTACGATCGCGAAAAAGGGATTTTGTATTTGTTTCTTTTATGGAAGTAGGCGAAGAGCCAATTGTCATAGGTGAAGATGAGTTCTAAACTCGATATTATTCATCAATTGAGTTATAATATGCCTGCTATTAGGCGATAAAACCTTGGACGATGTACACGTCGTGAAATAAGTAAACGGAATCTCTATACTAATCTAACGCAAGAGGAACGTGCAGAAGTAAATTTTTTGCTTTGGATGTTCGACAAGATTCGACCAGATCATATTGATTCGATCATTTCTGCCGAAAAACCAGATGTAGAAACTGATTTGGAGTTGCAGACTCACCGTGTATGAAAACGGAAAGCGTTTTCCCCGCCCGTTGGTACAAGACACAATCAGTGGAATGGACGGATATCCATTGTAGCAGCTTCGTTCTCCAAATGACAATGGCAGATCAATCCTGATGAAAGTGAAAGGAAAGGATGTCGTTATCGATAACCGCGGGATCGTTCCAAAGGGAGCGACATGGCGGTGTTTGGCATTGCCGGTCCAAATGCAAGCGACGAGAGGACGAAATTTTAACTTGGACGCTACGTGAGTTGTATCGAGGTAATTCGAAGTCTGTTTTCATTACCGATCCATGAACGTCACCCGACTGTCGTGCATTTGGCAGTTCACTTAAAGAACAGACAGCGTGTGTAGTTTACGGACGCAAATGCAGTGCAAAGAGCAGAAAGAACACCAGCGACAACATTGACAAATTTATTTTCAACATGCGAAAGCGATCTGTTTGCAAGGACTACTCTATTCGGAAATGCCACGCTATTATACATGGAACACTTCATCAAAGAAGTTTCAACGCCGAAAGAGAGGTGACACTGTTGCTGGCTTCGCTGATGTCTATTGAACTGATGCCCTCGGACGAATATACACAGTTCATCCATGCCAAGCCGAATGCTTCTAACTTCGCTTGATATTGGTAAACATTAGAGGCCCTACATCCTTCGCTTCCTTGCGTACTGTGGATGGTGTGCTGTGCGCCACTTTTCAGGATGCTTGCCAACGTTTGAATTTGATCGAACACGATACACATTAGGACTCAACGCTCGCCGATGCAACTATTTCTGCGCCAGCGAATAAAATTCGTACATTGTTTGCGGTCATCATAGCCACATGTCAGCATTAAAATGGGGCGAGACAACGATCGCCGGGTCCGCTATATCAATTACGCAAACTTTTTATGTCAACTTCACAATATATAATTTTTGCACTCCTGCCATTGTTTTTGTTCGTCTTACACCTTACACCGCGCTTGCTGCGCTGCCGTTCACGTTCACGTGTATTACAGTGGTTCGTACCAATACAATGATCCGTTTTGCCTGCTCTATTCGCACACAATCGCACTGCAGAACATTTGATTGTGTGTGTGCCGACCACTGCTTATAGTGTAGTAAGGACCCATATACCCATATAAATTAAGAAATATTCAAAGAAAAAAACAAAGCAAATATCTCCAGAGTAGTTTCGAATATTATTTTTCTAAATGATATAAAAGTTGAAAAATAATAATCAAAAAAAAAAATAGATAGTTTGAAAAATTCAATTTTCTTGAAGAGTCTTTCCAACAATCAAATTTTGTTTATTGGACAATATTACCAGTAAATACACCTAAGAAAAGAGACCAAAACAATAATCATACATGCCATATTTGGCCCCAAAGATGCAGTATGTGCCTAAAAATTGAATAAGTTCAGACCACTGAAAAAATGGTAAACTTTGGATGCTATGTATATGTATGTACGTATGTATATACGTATGTATGTATGTATGTATGTATGTATGTACTAGAGCCCTGAATAAATCCACATGATTCATAAAATCACAGTATACTCATGCCTCTTCAATGCGTTCGATCATTACCTTCAGTTAGATTCGAATCACCTCGAATCACTAAAAACCCGAATCCGAGCACTGCGAATCAATATCATCATGTTTCGTTCGCATGTCTCTGAATTGATTCAAAACATTCTTCGGATTTCGAGTTCCTTCGGCTATGCACATTCGGACTTTTTTTGCACTGAAAAAAATGAATCGCTGAGAAGCCGTATCGCTGATTCAATTGGATCGGACGAAACGAATACCGAATCCCTGCGAATCGATTTAGTTGCCCGTTCATGCAGGGCTCTGTATAGACAAAGGGTTTCTTTTTGCTTTGCGTGAGGAGAGAAGCCGCCTTTAGACAGCGCCTAACATAAGCCACCAAAAAAAAGCGTATAAAGTCGGCACAGTCCACGAAATGTTTATCGCATATACACGCTGGAAACTGAATTCAAACGTTGCAATCATATTTAACTTGGCCAGAGCTGAATCAAACCGAATCAAACCGAACCAAACCTGCCTCATCATCCGTGCCTCTGTGCCGTGCCGTGCCGCTGATGCATAAACTCCTTCCCCTGATTTCGGTCTGCTGCTGGTTTCTGATGTGGCTGCGGCTTCGGCTCCAGTTCCAGCTCTGGCTGTGGCTTCTGCAGCCAAACCTCACGGTCCATCGTAACAGGTAATTGATGCCGCTTGCGCGTTGCAAGAACTTTAATCAATTTATCAGATTTTTTCTCGTGTCTTCTTTTTGTTCGCCTGCCTTTCTTTCGTTGGCAACAACATGATGATTGCTTTTTTTGTGCTTGAGTGTGTGTGTGTGTGTGTTTTTGTATATGCGCGTGATGCAAGTGACCATAAAAACCGAGAACGGCTAACGAAAAGGCCAAAACAAACTGCCCCTTGGTGGAGAAGGCATGGGAATGGGAGTGGGACACGAGGCACTGGGCACAAGACCTAGCAGCATGTCCAGATGACTGGGAAGTCAGTCGGGCGGACCAGGTAAGTACAGGTTGGGCCAGGGCTAAAGTGCCAACCACCGGCGCACAGTGGCTCGTTTTCTCAAAACACGTTGCAATATTAATAACTTTTGAACCCGGATAGGTATAAGTCTCAAATTTAATACATATATTTGCAATACTTAAAATAAATTAAAAAAAAAAATTAAAGTAGGCGTGTCACTGGAAGGGGCGTAATTAACGGTCAAACTCGAAATTTCGTTTTTTTTTTACCCTAAAAACCATCATAAAAAATATAAATAAAATTGAACAGCATGCAAATATATTTATGTACAACAAATTTTAATTTTAAATACATTTTTTTTTAATTATTTATTTTGCACTTTCTGAGCTGATAGCACGAAAAGTTAACGTCCGAAAAACGGAAAGGAAAAATATTGAACATT